TCAAGCACACCTCCGGCAGACCTCGACAGCACATGTCGTCTCAACATAGCTAACACCTCGCTATTCTTCCACCTCGCAGGCACAGGCCTGTACGCAGGCTTGAACGTTCCAACAGTCTGCGCCCACTCTCCACTCCTGGGTTGATCTTGTCTCCACTCATCAGTCTCCAGCTCTGGACCAGTCTGTTTTCCAGCATCCGTTCCTTGTACAACTGGCGACATCTTATCCGTGCCACTAGCATGGACAGTCGCGCCTTGAGCTCTTTGACCCCCACCTTCAGCAGTTTCTTGTGATGTTGGTGTAGGCTCTTGTGTTGCCCAGTAGTATATATCCCAATCGTTCTCATCGAGGAATAAATCGTATTGTGTCATTTGTGCTGGTGTCATGTCTCGTAAATGTGCTTCTGCGAATGTCGACATTAGGAGGTCGCTCTCGAGTGTGCCTCTCTTACGGCTTTGATCTGCCACGAAACATCGTTAGTTCTGCACGAATTCTGGGATTGGGAGGAATCAATGCGGACATAGTAACCTCGCCCTCATGGTATTTGGATCTTCTCCAGTTCTGCGCAGAGGCTCAACCTTGAACTTTGCTCCTTCCATTTCTCCCACTCCCATTTCAGAATTTGGTCCACTGTCCGGAGCACCCTTCTGTGTGCCACCCGTCATTCTTTCAGTATTCTCTGGGACAGAGTCTTTGGGGGTGAAATCGGGTTCGACGGAGGTAATAAACTCCAGAGGGACCTTGTTTGCACCAGCTGAAGGCATCTCGTTGGCAATGGTAGAATTAGTGTTAGTCATATGAGGATTCAGAGGTTTCTCTGTCTGTGTCTTGCGGTAATCTGCTGTCCCCTCATGCTCTTTCGCATTTCCGGGTCCGGCCATTCGGCGTGCTGTTGTTGATATCGGTCGTGCGAAAGCCATTGAAGGCCTCGCAGAGCGGAGAGCGAGTCTAAGTGAAGACATATTGTATTTTGGAAGACTCAATGTCTAATTGTATCAAGGTATATGATCTGGTTGTGGATTGTTGTGAATGAAATGGACCTTTGGAGCTTTGAAGTCTGGGGAACTTTTCGGCAGCGTCATAGACATTTTCGTACCGAGGGACCCACGTGATGGACGAGCTACCCCTGAATCATCCGAGAGGTGGCATGAGCCAATCAGGAGTATTATGTTGCAAATCGAAGACGAAAATCAATTGAGCTAATTTACAAGTCCAATTGTATTTTCAAGATGTTAATCTCGTGCTAATGAGCTTCTCGATGCTCCTGTCCATGCAAATAGCCCAAATATCCATTCCCTACGCCATAACCATGCAACATGGAGCAAATTTCAGTCATCCTCAATAGATTCGAGCTCATCTTGGTCTTCAGAAGTCCCAAAACTATGTACATCATGCTCTCCTCTCCTGCTCCCGTCGATATTGTGCATCGACTCGTCGTCTAGCAACTTCCGTCCAATGTGAAGCGGCTCTTCTTCCGATGACGGCTCCTTAGACTTTCGACCAACAAAGGGCTTTGGCTTAGTGAACATCATCCTCCTTTGTGCATGATAGATGCTAGACCTGTCAGGGAGTGGCGAGCCCGCAGTTGCAGCCGACGAAGCTGGAGCACGCCTCGCCCGGGAATTTGGACGATAGCTACCAGGAGCATATAAATTACTCGAATCGCTCATTGTGGAACTTCTTCCCTTTTCTGATTTCATATACGAGCTCGAAAGCGGAACCCGTCTTGGATATTTTAATCCTTGGCCGTGGCTTGATTCTTCAGCTGAAGCATTAGTTGTACCGCTAGTCGCTTGGCCACTCCAAGAATCTGTCTTCCAAGCAGAGTCGACAGATTGACGAGTAGCCGGACGAGCAATCATAGACGAGCCTAGCCCTGATTGATTATCTGCCTGTTTATGTGCAGGAGCGTGCATGCTCGGCCCATGCTCCTCAGGTCCATCGCTGCTGCTACCAAAGACGAACTTCCTCCACACTTCATCTACGTCTTTCTCATCCTTACTCACAGATGGCTCGCTGATAGTCTTGGGTGAGTGTCTATGGCTGGGGTCCCTTTCAGGTTGGAAGTCGCTTGCCAACTCTCCTTCTGAGTGATCTGATGGCCGTGAGCGTTCAAGGTCTTCTTTCTCCATCTCCCGGGACTCGTTCCTTGATGACGGAGACTCTAACTGCTCAGAGGACGTCTGCTGCCACTCAGTGGACGTCTTCTGAGAACAAATTTGGGGCTCTAGAGATTCAAACCCGGAAAGATCTTCCTCCTGAAAGGAGACTTCGAACTTGCGTCGAGGAGGGACGGTACTGATGCCAGGACTAATGTTGACTTCTTGATGATGTCTTGTGTCACCGAAATGGCTTCTCCCTTCGGAACCCTGTTCTTGGAATAGATGCCCAACCCACGACTCCCACATCTCGTTGTCAGGAGCTTGCGAACTAGGTACTGCAGGCTTCCTCTCCCCTATCTGGGCCGCCGTGCTTTGAGCATCTTCCTGTTCTTCAGGCGAGTCGGATCGTATCAGAACAGACATTCGAGAGCTCTTCGGTTTTGGATGATGTATAGATGTGGAGGACGATGAGTAGACGATTCGTTGAGGGAGAGGACTGTTGTATATATCTCGTGATGGTATGGCATCTTGATTTGAGAGAGGTGGCTTGTCGGTTTCACCAAGCTCCCCTACCTTTGGGCCGTCTGCGTCCTGAGTTTCTTCGCGCATCTCGTTAGGAATGGGAGAAAAAAAGCCAGCCCAGCCTTCGAATCTATCGCTGTTCTCGGTCTGTAGGTCTGGGACTGGTTCCTCCTCAGCTTCCCCGGATTTAGAATGGACTTGCGTGAGCCTGGAAGGTCGATCCCGGCTGTGGTTGTGGCTGCCCGAGAAAGGACTGTAGTGCTGAACGGCACTGGAAGGTGTCTGTTGCACTTCTGGTTGGAAGACATCGTCATTGTTGTCCAATAGCATCACATCAGATGGTGTGGCTTGTGACCTATAGCGTGTAGCTGTCCGTGCCGAGCTAGAACTGAGACCTGGTGGTACGACTCTCCCGCCGGTTGAAATCCTGACATCTGCTCGTCCCATAGCTGCTTGTTGCTGTTGCTGTCTTGCCCACTCTGCTGGCGCGATATGAGCTGGACACCGAGCTCTCGGAGGGAAGGGTGATGTAATATGAGTCTGCCGTGTCTCGTATCGGGCTCGATGACTGTGCAGTACCTTTCTTCTTCTGCCAATATTCTCTTCGTCCCTGGGTGATGCGAAGGCGACGTTCAATGGCTTCTGTATGCCGACTCCAACCCAATCCCCTCTCCGTAGTATCCTCCTTCTCTTCTCTGACATTGATTCCTCCTCCTGCTGCTGCTCCCCCACACTTCCAACTCCGGACAACGACAACAAGTCTTTTCGTTCTTGCTTGTATTTCCATGGCGGAGGAGTAGCATTGTAAAGGTCATCGTCTGGGACGGGGGTCGGCTTGATTCGATTGTGCTCGCGCTTTCGGGCAGCATGAGCAGTGGGTAAAAGACGGGCGGGGAGCTTAGAGGTTGACCTGCTCTCCTCACGACTTGATGCCTTCGGAGCCAGCTGTACAACTGATGACTCGCGCAGACTTTGCTGGCGATCTTCCGCGATAAGGTCGAAGACGGACCATTTCGCTGGTGACTTGAACTTTGGAGCGCAGCGGAGGTTCTGCTGCACTCGTGCGAAGTGTTGCTTCTGCCGTTGCTTAACATTATCAGCTGCATTCGAGTGCCGCTGAAGACGTCCTCCCGTCCAGTTCATTGCATGGGTTGTAAGGAAAAGAAGTGCGTATAGATTGGCGCTAGTGTAAGGATCTTGAGTAGCTGTAGATAATTCGCGCGAATGATAAGCATGGAGCGAATGCTGATGTTGTTGAAAGAGTGGATGGAATCGAACGACCATTGGTCCCGACGAAGAAGGCTCGCTTAGACATGGTGAAGGTTCCTGGATTGGTCTCCAAAAATTCATTGAGAGGAGAAGGAGGCCCTGCCGAAAACTAGACCCGACAAAAGAAAAATCACCTTCCGTCAAAGAATTAAAGGGATTACGGCAGATGGTATGATATATCCTTCCAGTATTGCTGCGACTTCCGTATGCTCATCTTCCTGCCGGCTTCGGTGCCTTTCAAACTATCATGAGCCCCATGCAGGAAGAGGAACGCCAACAGTATCATTCGGCTATTCGGCCCCCAAGACGTTAAAGATCCATGCGTAATGATTGAAGTAAAGTTATGACATGATGCAAAAGAAGGGCCTTACTAGCTACCTCACGCAAAGTCTTTCATCTGCATTTTTATCGTACCTCTGTGGAGGTGTATTATCCAAGGAAGCACAACACGAAGCAAGTGTTGACCCTCAACGCCGAGGGCTTGCTCATTCCAGTAGTCATCTAAACATAATCATTTACCCGCCCATCTGGCACTGCGACAGTATCGTGTTCGAGATTGGCGGTGAAAATCTTGGGATCCATCAGAGGAGCAATCATGAAACAGTTCGGTGATATATTCCTCACTGCGTCAGCTTTGAATCGGTGTAAACAACAAGAAGAGCAATAGCAACCAAGGCGTTCCAATACCATGGGCGAGCAATGCTTGATATGTGGAGAAGAGTAGGTTGGTCGTGTGCTCTTGAAAATCGTGCCGCCGAGATGCTGAAATTCGGTCATCGTCATTAGCCTCATGGAACGCTGTTCGGCATAACTGCCGAAGGGTCCAACTATTTTCTTGAAGTCACCGGTAGTTGATCACAGGTTCAAGAAAGTGCCGGATATGAGATCATAGCCTTTGATGAACAGTACTGATCCATTCTTTGAGGAGAAAGGAGCTTTACAACACTCGGATAAAATAAGGAGTGGTTGTTCAAGTGAGACAAGAATTCGGCAGCGAAATACTCACTAAGACATAGATCCGAACTTATGCCGGCGCTAACCTAGCTACTCCTCGCACATTTGCAATAGCCGTATAAACTTAAATAGGCACAATTCGCCAACATCCCAGGTGGTGTGGTGTAATGGTAGCACGTCAGATTGTGGCACAACTACAATGGATCTCTGTCAATCTGGGTTCGATTCCCAGCACCGCCATGTTAACAGCATGGATTGATATTCAGGGTGGTTTGATTCCATCAGAATAGATCATATTTTTTGTCGTTTTTTTCCTACCCCGCTTGTGCCTTAACTTTTGCACGTACACTAGGTTCGCTACGAAATCCAATCATGTCTGACAAACAATTATTAATCAAAGAAAATGGGGGTGAGGGGAGGTCTTGAACTTGAAATGCCGTTATATTTCATCAGTACACTCACTACATACATAAATGCACTATGCCATTGAATGTCCATCTTTATGTCCAGCCCAGTCCTTTATCCCTAGCCAATGCACATGCAAATACAATCGCTCGCTCCAAGTCGCTCCATCTACAATCCTTTGAAGCTGACGCAATGCCGTGCACAACCCAAACGCAAAAGACCACCTCTCCTCTCCCTCAATAGTTCTCCCAATTCGTATTCCACGGCTGACTCGCCTTCCTAGAATCCTCCCCATGCTTATAACTCCCCACCAACTCCTCCTCATCAACACCACAATGCATCTCCCCATCCCTCCCGGTAAACCACCCTAGCCCATACATCTTCCCCACCTCCGCCAGCCTCTGCACCATCTCATCATTATTCATCTTCTCTGTCCCCACGAAATCATACAACATCTTACTCTGATGTATAAACGCCAATACTGAAGCTATCGTATTCGGTTGTCGAGGTAAGAATGGGTGTCGACGACGGGTGTAGACGAATGTCGCGACGAGGCAGAGGAAGGTTATTATGGTGATGGCGAGACCGAAGGAGAGCCAGAAGGAGAGGAATGTTTCTTCGCCGGCGTTTTGGCCATTTTGGGCGTCCCCGCCGCGGTGGATGTCTCGTCGACTGGGGCCTTGGGTGCCGTTTGGCGGAGGTGGGGTGTTGGCGAAATCTAGTCCGGAGACGTTTGCGAAGGATGTAGAGCAGATTGTAAGGACTTCAGCGAGAACGGAGCCTAGTCCTACGAGAGCGACGAGGAAATGGCCGTTGAGGAACGCACGGATGGGCATCCAGCCGAATGCCATTGCGGTGTAGTCTAGTGTTAGGACTTTTGGGGAAGCGTGGCGGCGAGAGAGGATGTAGAAGGGTTCGATCATTCGGACGTCGGTTTCAAGGGTACCCCAGGCGAGTTTGATACAGACGGCTAGGGCAGTGAGGAACCAAGGAGCTTTATCAGTGATTGTGTTTACTGATGGTTGGAAGAGAACGATCGGAATTAGGATCATGAACAGGATCATCCCTATGATAAATGGTATCCCGGCTTCGAGCCGAAGCATGAGGGGATGTGGATTTTCGGGTCGTGCTCGTTGATCATATTTGTCTTTCTCTTCTTGTGTGAGAGGAGCTGAGGTTTCGGGTGCGAGTGAAGAGTTTCGAAGACTGTAGCGATGAGACTTGAGAGTTTGGTGGATCAGCTCTGGTTTCGCGGTATCCATGTTCTTGAAGTCCATCAAAATATGACTTCTGTTAGCCATGGCTGCGATCCCAGCGATTCCTTTGACATCAGCCACCAACCCGGACGGGCGTCTCTCCAGTTGGTAGACTAGAATGCACCCCATCAAGGCAATCAGAAGCAAGAACACACTCAGGAAACGTGAATAAACAGCATTGATGCGAATCTCTTTGGGACCTGTCGGATCTGCTTCTCTTGCTGCACGGTCCGGTGTAAGGCCAACCGAGGCAGCTTGTAATGTTGGAACGAGGGATACAGCAAGCAATGTTGCGATGGATGACACTGCAACCGCATAATGCTTGTATGCGAACGCTCTAACAGGGCGTAGGAAATTGAAGAAAGTGATGTAGTCGACCTAAATAGAAAGTTAGTTTTAGTTGTCCTAAGTCGAGTGGTACATTGAGAACTGCTCAAAGTCCGCGATTCTTTGATAAATTGACAATGGCCAATATCCCACGATCATTAGGACAATAAGGATGCAATGATTGTACGAGAATGAGATGCTTACATTGATAGATTCAGCAGCCAATGCCCCACCCTCTTTTGACAGCTGATAGTACGCCTCTAATCGCTTCACCTCAAAGTCCGTAACCTGCCACAACACACCAAATGTGACAGCAACCAATGTCGGTAAGTACTTGAACGTAAAGTAGTTCCAAGTACTCAAGTTCTGTGCGGTCGTGAATGAATACAATGCTCCTTTATGATATAGGTACTCTTGTGCTCCTGCGAGAACCACAGAGACGATTATGAGAAACGAGAGATAGGGCCATCTCATCGAAAATGGCTTCCAATTAGGTTGCGGATAGAAGACCTCCGTTGTTGGGATAGGTAAGGTATTTTTATGAGTATGCTTCTTGCCCATCTGATCGAAGTCCAGTGTTGCCGTACTCCCACCAGCGAAAGAGCTGATATCGAAGCCTGGGGCTTGAGTATCTCCAGGCTCTTCTTCCACAATCACCTCTATGATCTCACCCCGTTTATTGGCTTCAGCTTGACCTAACTGTCTTACTGTTTCTTTCCTTGCAAGTCCTGGAGACCGGAATGAAGGCACTCTTGCAGTGGAGTTCCGAAAAGACATCCTGCGTGATATCGATCCAGGAGTCCGAGGCGTTGTAGGTGCGTTGTTCATCAGAGCAGTACTAGTGATCGTAGTCGCAGGCTCCCATCCAGCGCCCAAGCCTCCAGTGAGCTTGCCAGCTGCTTCTTGTCGGTTGAACTCCTTCAGTTGGTCCTCATTTTGGGGAGGGCCTAGGAATGATGATACGTCGTACGGCATAGGCGATAATATCGGCGCAGTCTCCAGCTCTTCTTCTTCCACTGTAAAGTATGCGGTCTTCTGCTTCGACAATCCCATAGGCATGGCGGAGCTCAATAGACTCATGTCTATCTCCTCCTCTTGTATGCTCCCGTGCGTCAAGCCTAGCAGAGACCCGCTCGAACCAGTTCTTCTCTTCGATAGCCTCTTCGGTCCATATTTTCCTCCAGAAGAGGGTCTTCTCGATGACGGTGCAATGGGTTCGTATGATTGCGTAGAACTTCGGAATGGATTGAAGCCTCGCGACGTAGGTGAAGTCGGTGTGCCAACACGCAGAGTATCTGGAAGTAGATTTGACATTGACAACCTGCCCTGACTCCTCGAACCTTCAGACGGAGAACTTATTCCAGAACTTCCAATTGAGGATAACCTCACACGACTGATATCCACCTCGTCCGTTGAGCGTGCATGTTCATCCGTGGGAGACGGCAGCGAAACCATAGAGTCTCGGTGACCACTTCCATACCCATCCATCGAACTAACCGCAGATATCGAGGATCCTTGATGTCTCAAATCGGGTCTACTCGAAGGTGTACTTCCGCCATATGGATAAGGATAGCCGTCGTTCGGGCCATTGTTGGCCATTATATATGCTTAAATCTCGAGGTAGCGATCGAAATAGGCGAAAATGAAACGAGCGTCCAACTGCGACAAAACATTAGCATTTGATGTTCAAGAAATCATCAGGCTCCAGCATCTGATTCAGAAAGCAATTCGGGACTCATACATCCAACTCAGCAGCTCGACGCACCGCCAGCGACTGCGAACCAGCCCTAGGAGGTAGCCTATCTTCAAGGGCCAGAATCCAGCCCCCGCAGAAGACCAAACTCAATTTCCCACACCCTTTCGAACCTCTGTTTATGACTTCGGGCCCGGGAAAACAACTCGTGTCACCTCTCTCGATAACCAGCGACCGCGGCTCAGTACGTGATGTTGGATCGTTCTCTCGTGCGTCAGGCTCTCTGCAAGGCACAGCAGCTCCGTCAGGTCACAACGCAGCAGATATGAAACTGCGATTCAATCAAGGCATGAAGTCCATCGTTGAAGAAAACAAACAATTAATTCAAGGCTGAGAGAGAATCAAGAAGACAGAGAATGACAGAAGGACAAGCCTTTACGCGATGGCAGCAAGAACAGACCTACCGTTTTCGATACTCATCATTCAGATGAACGGGGTGTCAGGGCTGAAAGACCATGCAGACCTTGGATGGCAGCCCCCAACCTTGGGACGGCGAGAGGCGTTCGGAGGAACCAATCAGATAAGCGCTGGTAAGCCGCGAGCGTCTAGAAATAGAAACTTTCGGACCCTGAATGCGAGATGCCGCGCGTGACAGCCAAACATGAGAAGAGGTTCAAAATGCTGGTGGTGATGCCAGACATGCAACCCGATTGCGCTTATCTGAGTTGATCCTGTGCTTGAATACGAGCTTTCTCTTGGGACTCTGTAGGGCTGATGGTGCTGGGTTGAGGGGACTGGAGCGAGCTGTGTTGCCGCTGGGGAACGAGTTCGCTAGGGTCAGGGGCCGACCCGAAGAGCGAATTTGAGTGATGACCAACAAGGGGTTGAAACCCAATGGTGACATTCTGGCGATTCATCAAAGGATGATCTCTCTGCCTCGTTGACTCAAGTGAAGATAAAACAACTTAGTACAGTATATAGTCAAATAAGGAATAAGGCTCAAAATGGAAGCAAATGAGTACATATCAAGTTAGATTAAGTGAGAGGAGAAAAGGATCTGATTGACTAAAGCTCTCTTCAACTAAAGCTTCTTCTGTTCTATTCTAAGAACAGCCCTCATCTACGTCGTAACTCCATCATACACTAACTCCAACTCATGATCCCCATATCTACCACCGCTATGCTTATGCGTATTCAACAAGGTTTGCCACCCCGCTTCTAAAGTGCGACCTGCTCAAGCGAGAGCTTATTATACATATGTACTTATTTCATCTTAGTATCTCATACACTCGCACCCCCCTCAATTTCACTTCGCCTTTGGTTTAGGTTTTCCAGCCCATCTGGCTTTCGGCTTCTTCACTGGCATCGATGCTCTCTTTAGTGCTTTTGCTTCCTTCGTAGTTCTCTTCCCGATATCCCAGCCCCAGCCTCGAAGAATCTGAACAACTTTCGGTGTAACGGCTGCTGTGATGGGTACTCGGACGAAGATGAAAGACTTGTGAATGGCGTAGGCTAGTGCAAGTTGTGTCGCCAGACCTAGTTGTGTTAGTAGTGAGACT